CTCAAAATACTTGCCCATTACCTGAAGAGGGTAACCGGTAATGTGAGCACTTATACATCAAAGAGTGGTCTTTCTATTATTAGTACCACTCGCTTGACTCCTGCTTCTTCTTCTTCTGCAATATGGACAAGGATTTTATCCGCTACCATCGGCACCGACCCCTCCAAGCGCTTCCTCAACCTCTTTCGTCCACCAGCGTGATAGCTGCAGATGCCAAAATAATGGAGCTGAATAAGGACGATGCCCTCAATTATCGGACAACCTTCCACGACGCTAATGCTTCAAAGCGGGAGCCTACAGTTTTGATGACGAAGTGAGGTTTGGGTTATCCTGTGAACTCAGATTGAGGGAGCTGTGAAAGTGCTGGATGAAGAAGCTGCTTCCTCGGTCAATGCGTACGCAAAGCAGCTACGAGATCTAAAGCGTACCGTCGATCAGAGGGAAAAATTTGTCCGCACAGCCCGCCCTCATCATGATAGTGCAGCGCACTCCGTCCAAAAAAGTTCGAGCCGTACCTCATGCAATAGAGCTGGATGGCTCTCCCCTTGCACTGGTGTAACAGACATTGCTCCTTCTAACTGCGAGTTGCCTCCATACTCAATCGTTATGTGGACGAGAAAACCTCCATAACCCGAGTTCAAGTCAAGATTGAGATGATGTCCAACTTTGCGTCGCGCCTCCCTGCATTGTGAAGCGATGGCATCCATGAGGTGCTCAAAAACTGGCAAGGACCCCGCAGTAACATTGCTGTACAATTTTGATCTTACACGCCTCTCTATAAAAAGAAAGCCTAATTTGAAAAATGTGACAGAACTTTCTCGCCAATCTAATGGTTTCAGCCTTGGCGCCATTGGGCGCGCCTCATGCTTTTTCATCCAAATCGATAAAAAATCGCATAATAGGGCTGTTTGATGCCCTGATCACGAATACGGCATACACACATGTCAGCACCCTGGAAGAAGGCCCTTCTTGCCAGGCTCAGTCTTAGCGAAGCGCAGATGATCGTGTTGTCCTCCATTAGCGCCAGCGTCAAATAATGAATGTCATATTCGTAATCAGAATGTCAAATAACCCCCGTATACAAGTTTTCAGTGGATTTAAGTCTAGGATATTTTGGCGCCGGCGCCAGATAGCTTCAGGTCAAGCGAATGTAATTTTCATGTACACGAGGTCGGACTATCCCTAGAACTCTGTCTTCAGCCAAATGCGCCCCCTTAGAAAGAAGCCGGTCAGAAACCGGCCATCTTTCGGACTGGGGTAGTAATAGTTGAATAGTGCTGAAGAGATTTCTTTGGAAGGAGTAAATTAGGACCAATTTTCACCGAGTGGACTGCGATAGCCTCCTCTATCCCAGGATCCCAGTGCCCAGGATTCCAGAAAAAAAAGAAGGCACATAACCTCTAAGTTCCTCTGTGATTTCATAAAACATGCACTGACTGTGATGAGAAAGTTTTACAATATTTTCTAGCGCCTTGGTTAGTGGCAGCGAAAATGGGAAAAGTTGAACGAAGAAACAAAAAATGCGGGAATGGAGAAATAGAACAACACTGAAATAGACAACGGAGAAAACAAGAGATCCAGAACACAATTACTAGAATCAGAATGAAAAGGGAGCGCAAAATCGGATCAAGTAGGAGAAGGAAGAGTAGCAATCAAAAGTGACTAGGGAGCAAATGTAGAGGAAGGATAGCAACTCAGAAGACCACAGAGGCTCAAAAAGGAAAACGACAGGTCAATAAATCCAAGCGGAGAGAATGAAATTGAAAACACTTTCATTCACATGCAAACATCACGGCGCAATTTAAAGGGACACCATACTTCTGCGTGCGTGGATCCCAAAGTGCTCGCTACCGTAATCGTGCGGCCGCCGAAAGTTCGCAATTTGTTTTCCTGGCCTGGATTCAATGTTCCTTTCGTCTCCTTTGTTAAAAGAGTCTGCTCTCGCTAAAGGAAGATCACTCTATCCAAAAGTAACTGTATTTTCGGAAGTTTTACCTCTTGCTTCAAAAAATATCAGTAACTCGAAGAGAGGGCGTCCAGCAGGTGCTTGTTGTTTTTGTGTTGACTTTCTGGATTTTTGTTCTCGCTTTATTACTAATTCTTGTTTGCTTAGCATCTTCATGTACGCAAGAGCTGCAGGCTCTTTTTGGATGTTTGAAGAAATGGGAATTCGATGACAAGCCATGTGAAAAACAACATGCCGCTTATATGGACTGCGTCCACGAGTCGGAACGCGTCATTCAAGAATACAAAGAGGCAGCAGCAAAGGTAGTTAGATTCCATTCCTCTTGTTGTTCTTGCTTATTCTCGCGGACTTGTTATTGAACATAGATACTTTCAAATACGCGTCAGTAGTGAGAGATTTCCATGGTGCACCACTAAACACCCCTTGGTTCTGGAAAGTTGCGGAATGAGTTACTTTTCTATTGTGGAACGAAAAAAGTTGGGGAAAATGTGATCCTTGGGCTGCGTTCGAACTCTGCCTATCGTGAAGAATTGACGTAAGGATTAGATAAATGTCGATCTGCCTGCAAATCTTCAGTTCTGCATCTTGTAAATTTTTCAAGTGCATGTGTACCTAGTCCTTCTCTTCAAATTTCGTTCCTACAAGTTAACAGTTTCTCATCTTCGGGCCATTACATAGCAGTCTTCGTCAATGCTTCACCTGCTTCGTCTTATGTCTGCGCTTCCAGACACAATAAGTGCTTTCTAAACGTATTCTTAGCACCATTTATGGCGGGACAGTGGCGCGCCTAAAGTAATTCCTATGAACTCTCGAGGTGACTGGGCGTTCTTTGTATTTCTCATGTAAAAGACAGCGTCCACGAGGAGTCTCAGTCATATGAATGTTCTCAAGCCATGCAACAGGCCACTTTTTTCTAGACTGATTCTGACAGCAAGCAGGGTTCTAGCTTGGAGCGCTTTTGGCGGTTTTTTGCTTTTTTCTTCACTAGCATCCCGTTTTTCTCATAATCTCGTGATTCACAGCCCTGTAACCTGCAAGTGGAAGTCGCAGACGCCATCCTTAAGTGAACAGATTACTCTTGAGCATCACTTTGGACCTTTATGAAGCAGTTTCAAATCTACTACCTTTTATCATGCCTTCTTGGTCTCAGGCCGCATTCTTATTTGACAGCTTTGAAGAAATGACGAAACTGCGGACAGAACAATTATATGGATCGATTAAAAAAATGCGGAATCGGGCGAAATGCAGAAATGCGGAATTTGCTAAAATGCCTAAATGATGGGCTACGACTTGATAGGGATTGATCGCATAGCCCCGCCAGCGGAAGAAGTGCCGAAATGCAGAATTTTCGTCATTACGGATTCCGCATTTCTGCGTTTCTCCCACTGCCGCGGTTTTTCAAATCGATAGATATACTTTACTTCTCCTACTGATTCCGCATTTCTCTCAATTCCGCAGGTCTGCAAATTCTGTACATTCCACGGTTCAGCATTTCTGCATCATGAATGAACGCGGTCTCAGTGTGAGACATATTCTCTAACAATAGAAAAACGGGCACAATTTCACATTGCCGTTTTTCAAAGCCCTTCACGTGGTTAGTTGATCCGAACTTCTTTACCGTAAAGCTTTCACTAGATGATCTCCGAAAACTATGTAGTCTAAAGTCACGATGTGTTGGCTAGTGTACCTTCATTGCTCTAGTGTTGTGCGCTGTGCGCTACGCTAATAATATGAAGGTGATATAAAAAGTGAACAACCCTACCAGGTGACTGGGTGTTGCTATGGTTTCTTAAGTTCACAACAATCGTTAGCGCTCATACTTACTAGGGAAGTCGCCAGGTCGAAGTGGCCATTTGTAATGAGATGTAGCTCACTAGACGTGGTTTTGGACGCTGATCTCGAATCTGCCTTCGAAATTTGCAGAACGATTCTCTGAACGGAGTTATGAGCTTTTCCTCCGCGTCTATCACGCAACAGGTCATGAAATCGGATCCCTGCTGAGCTTAACTTTTTTGTCTCTTGCACGAATATGGCAAAAAGAGCTTTGCCGTCACTACTACTTCAGTGCTCACTGAACTTGCCTGTAGAAAAGTTTAAAAGTAAAAGTTAAGTATTTCTTGTTGGCGATTCACAAAATTATGCCCTTTTAATATAAAAAAGGTTAATCTAAGCAGTTTTTTCAGTGCGGAACAACTCTTTGAATTCCTCGATAGTAGAAGTTTGGCATTATCAAGCGACTTATGCTGCGTTCGCAGTCCTTGTCGACGTTTTAAACGTTTTGGAAACTATAGGTGTAGATCTATCGTTTTGGAAAAAAGGCTAGCATTTTGAGTCCCTTGAAAAGTTCTTGGACGAAACGCGGAAGTGCTGGCGTTACTTCCAAAACGCCAGATCAATACCTGTGCTCTTCCTTTCGCCGAAACCGTAAAATCATGCCGAACATGATCATAGAATCATATGTACGCAGAATAAAGCTTCTTCGGCCTCGCTTTAATGTTTGGATCTTTATCCATTAGAAATTAGCTTAGATGCCCGGAAAAGCGTAAAATTAGTAGAGTAGGAGAAATGGATATATTTATAGGCTATAGGTGGATGTATCTATCACTTCTCAGCTTTTTCAATTTTTTTCGTCTTCGTTTTCGTCGACGCACAGGAATTTGCTGTCAAAGCTTTCGATGTGGATTTGTCCCACAGACCTAGTCCTAGTCCTGTGGAAAGTTCTGTGGAAGGGACATAATGAGAAGCTCATAGTTCCTGGAAAGTGCGTGTAATGAGTAATATCTTGGAGTTATGGTGGAAATGCTGCAAAAGTCAATGTGGGCGGGTGGTTCCCTACTCCAACAGCGCGAACTTTCATGTATTCCATTTCTTTCAGTGTACCTGTTCACACTGAAATATAACGCGCTTACCTGAGGTGCAGGCCACCCTTTTTCTCAGAATCTTGGATAATATAGTCATTTTTCAGAATTTTTCAAAATTGAATTCTTTCAGGGGACGCTTGGAGAGGGTGTACAAGGGAAAACCATTACAACGGCACAGTTCAACAAGTTGATGACGTTGTTTCCTCAACCCGATTTGGGCAAGCGACCTTACCGACAAATGAAGCGATTGCCCACCCAATCGTACGCCGAGGACATTTTCCATAGGAAACACTGGAAAGGCAAAGCTAGTTAAGAGCTGGAGTGTAAAGATATGTGGACGTTGTACTTATATGTATAAATCGTAGATGTATATGAAGATAGGTGTTCGAATAAACATTGAATTTTTTCGTGTTCTTCTGCTTTTATTAGTTGTTCCAGAACAACGGTTACTTCTCGCACTAATTTTAGTTTTTTTTTCATATCTGAGGCCCCACTTTTATGTTTGAGTGTTGATCCGCATTACATTGTTAAGGGTATGGCTGCCCTGAAGAAGTTCTTCATTAAACAAAAGCTTGCTAAAAAGCAAAAGCAGAACAGGCCAATGCCACAGTGGGCACGAATGAAGACAGGAAACACGGTTCGTTTGTTGTTTTCATTCTTTTTCTTTTTCCACCTCCAAAGCTCTAGTGTAGTGCCTGTGTACTGTGCTAATAATAAGGAGGTAATAGAGAGGTGGACAACCCTGCTAGGTGACGCTGTGCCGCTGTAGTTTCTTAAGTTCACAACAAACTGATAACCTCAATAGAGAAATGATTGTAATCTCGATGTTTTATTGAAATCAATTTTCTTTTGTTTAAGATGAAGTACAATGCGAAGAGGCGCCATTGGAGACGTACTAAGCTGAAGTTGTAAATATGTTTCCTGTTGTCGCATTTCGGAATGCTGCCGATTTCTTGTTGATTTCGAAGTTATGCCGATAAATTGTGTTGTTGAGTGTTGTGGACAATACCATCTAATTGGAATTGTTGCGCTCTCTGGGGGTCGTATCGATTTGGCCGAAAGAGTTTTGTTGGACGATGTGCCCAGTGCTGAACTGCTACTGCGATCTATTAACTTTGTTATTCATCCTAGTACGTGCATCAGATGCAGTACTCTGTTACAAGTGCTTCTCCGATTCCGCTAATTCGTCGTGTATATTGCAGCCGCGAAGTTTTCCATGGGCGAACTGTGACGGCCAGTGTCAGGTGAGGAGAGGCCAAAAATGTGAAACTGGGAGATCAATAGGTTGGTGCGGCGGAGAACATACAAGTCCAAGTAGAAAGTGCGACTCGCTAACCGTTTCAGTTGTGGGGTATACTTTAGTTCACTGCGGACGAAGGGGTTGTCAGGCAGAATGGGTGTGCCACGGCGCCAAACTCCTCTTGTTGAAGCGGGTATACGACAACATTGGTAGAAAACGTGACACAAGAAATATGATACAGTCTGTCATTTTTTAGCTTCAACGTTTAGTGCAGAACGGGTTTAGCTCAACGCCAAACTAACCCCGCCTGACAGGCCCTTCGTCCGCAGCGAACTAGACTGCATTGATCAAATGTCATAGAAACCGCTCTCATGTTCTGCGTTAATGTGGTGGCACATGTCACACGAGCACAGCGTAGATTTTCTCTTGTGCCTATCTCCCCCAATTTTCGCGATTATGACCGATTCCGAGACATTTTTAGGCCCCCTGCCTTAGCGTTAGGCTGCCTTCATAAACGACTACGTAAGTACGGTAACTTCAGTAGGCGAAGCAGAATCGTCCACTGGTGGGGTCAAGGTCGGGATGAGTAGGGCATGGGACAAGAGGTAAATAGCACCCGTCACCCGTGGTTCCCGCCCAAAGGGGGCGGGGCGTCTGCCGAAAGTTAGCGATGTCAATGAAAAAATTCATAATTCGGCTCCAGAGGTGTCCCGAGATGGGGGAAAAGTGGAATAAGGTTAGCAAAGGGTTGACCCATCAAATGGAGGAGGCACACCGGAACGGGCCGGGCGTGCTAGAATAGGCGGTGCTTCCGGTGTCACTGAAAAAAACCGTAATTCGGCTACAGAGCAGCTCCGAGATGAGGAAAAAATGGGATAGGGTTAGCAAAGGGATGGCCCATCAAATGGAGGAGGCACACCCAGATTTAACGAAATTGAGTAACTCGATTTTCGAGATAGTTTGGAGGTCCTAAGAAAGCTGTTGGGGAAGAGAAACATCTAGCGAAGCTGGGCACCTGTGGTGTACTGAGAACGCTCACAGTGTGTGGGAGCTTGCCCTCAGGCGTATATCAGCACACGCAGTGATGATTTAAAGTAACGGCGATTTCGATGAGAACCACTAGACGAGTGGTGCCAACAAGGGCGGAACCTCTTATGAGTAGAGACGTGAAGTTCGAGTCATTACTAAAATTCATTTCTCATGATTAGACGCTGACAGGAGCAACTCAGAGGCTATGAGGCATTTGGATAACAAAACTAGTCTTGAGGCTAAAAACAAACTACCAGATGTTCGCTGGGCAGTCAGCAACGTCGCTCCTACAAGGTACGAACACAAGGGTGTGACGACATGAAAAATTACGTTGTGAAATTGTGCGATCTGGATTTTCGATGAGAAAGGTTCAAACGCACAGTTCACAATGAGACGTTTCACATATAATACTTTTTCGTTTGGCGCATTGCGTAGAAGTCGCCAAGTTCGGCTCCCAGTAAGCCTCGGCATAGTTTAGTGTATGTCTTCTTTGCTGAACTCCCGCAAGTTGCTGGGTTTAACTGGAGCTTAGGTATGCTCCCGGCGAGAAATACTTCTAATCTGAGAGTCTGACGAAGACCGAAGCATTTTGCTACTAATTACGACCACACCTCTCTGTTTAACTGAGGTTGGGAAACCTGATTGGCATTCGCTCGCTTTACTTTTTGGTTCTCCCAATCCATACGTTTCTATCCCTCTTCGCGATGCCGACGGTTTTGCATGCTCAGTTTTCCGACACTAAATCGGTACATTTCAACTTCCGCGGATCCGCTTCTGCCGTCAATCCTTCAGGGTCGCTTGTTGAAAAATTCCTTCAGCGGTCAATTCGTATCCAGTATTCTCAGCCGATTCTCCCAAATTCGCGACCCGCATGGCTGATCCCTCGAAACGCACAGGCATAAGGCCTGAGAAATCTGTTCCCATCTGGATTTTTCAGTTGATTTCGCCGGTTATGCTAATTCTGCTATTGGTCACTCTCCATGTATACAACAATCGGCTCGCTGGCTGACGCCGGCGCGCCTCCTTCTGATAGGGCCCGGCATCGCCGGGCGGGCACGGCAATACAAATCAAAGGGGATAGAGCAGCGGCTACAATGCCATTTGGAGGCTAGTACCTTTAGCTATGTATCCGTAAAATTTGGAGAATCGACCCCCAGAAGGAGTTCTCGAGAAATTGAAAAGAAGCCTGAGTTTTGAAAATCAGCGCCGGATTTTCAAATCAAGCGTCATAAGAGGGAAGTGCGCGGCTCATATTTGACCTGCGCCGGAAGTAGTTGTGTGTAATGGTATTCTCGAAATGCAAGGTGGAAGATTTGGCTCAGGAGTCCGAAGAAGAATGAAAGGAAAAAATTTGTGTCGTGGATGGTCCCATAATTTTCACTCCTGCACAGGAAAAAAGGGTGGATGAAGTCAAGCGCTTCTGATCACAGAGCCTGGACCTTTGTCGAGCTTCCCCGCGAGACTGACATCCCTGCTGCAACTGCTGCCCGAGTTATGTCCGATAAACTGAGGATGGTCAAGAGGGTGTGCGCATGGGTACCTAATTTTCTTATAGAAGCACGAAAGCAGCACCGATTCTGTGCCTCTAGCAGTAGTGTTCTCAGCATGAGATGTCATTCACGACTGTAAAAACGCACCCGGGGCCCTAGATGAAATATGGGTGGTCTTGGACCTCGAGCCAAAACTCACAATCGTCAATTTTGTATGAATGCAGATGAGAAGCCGCCCGAGTTCTACCATGAAGAGTTACGTGGGCGCAAGTGGATGATCGCGAAGGATTTCCCACACTGTGGCTTTCGGGCGGCTCTATACAGAGAATACAATTGTCGCTCTCAGTGTATATTGCCTGTTCCTCGGCAATCAGATCGACATAATTTTATTGACACCATACAAAAAAAGCACCGTTCGTCATAGTGGCCAAGAACCCTAATTGTAAGTGATGGTATTGTAGGGCGATGGGACACAAACAATACTGAGACCTGGGTTCAATCACCCCATTCGCCCGACATGAAGTCGAGCGATTCCAATTGTTCTCGTCAGTCTCGAGAGCCTCTCGACGCACAACGCTACAATGCTTTTGTTCATTCGCGCGAAATTCGCATAGCAATCAGCAATTTACCTCGCACGTTGTTGAAAAAACCAAGGTACCAGAGGTCAAACGCTTTCGGGGCTTTGAGAGCTAGTCTTTGCTAAAGGAGGAGGGTTAACCTGACCTGAAGCCAAAATATTACTTTTCTATCTGCTTTTCTCTTCGTTTTATATGAATAAGGTCTCTCGGCATTTTTTAAAGGGATGACCTAATATCTGAACAGATGACCATTTTCAACACTATTACTGTGCATGGAATTGTGGTAAGGAGCGTTGATGAATTGCAGAGATGAGAGAAAATCAGGGTATCACTCATTCATTTGAGTGTACGAAAGCACGTAGACGAGTCGAAGCGGCTCGCCCGGTAAGGTCGGGCCGTACCACAGAGGAGGCGCGCCGGCGTGAGCCAACTGACTCGGATTGAGTGTACCTACGACGACCGTGGATAACAGTAGACTGCCGATGCACTGAACTCAGTAAAAATAGGCAGCTCGTGCTTGAGGGCACGCACCTGAAGGTGTCTACGTTTCTGGTGTATATTTTCATCTTGACACAATTGTTGTCGTGTCTCTATCCCAACACAGAACAAAATGACAGTTGTTCAAGACTAATAAATATTCCACGAGAAACCGATTTCGTGCCATGTTCAAATGCACGCCTACTCTGGTTCAGGGATAAGGAGTAATATCTCGTCTCCAGACGCTTCTTGTGACCGCCTAAACTCATTCAGCGCCCGAATCCGTAAAATTTTGTAGAGCACCGCGGCATCTCGAGTGGGGCGGCCAGCCTCTTTTGATAGATGTCGCGCCGCCCTTTCACACGCCAACCCTATTGTTAACCAAGCAACTTGTGAATTTTTGACTTTTGCCCTCCCCGCCTCAACACCTGCTACGCCCACAATGGGCGTGTCACCTTTGCTTACCTTTTGCCGGTGTCTGGACTCCACCGAGAACGTTTCGGAGTTTCTTTTTTCCTTTGGCCCCGCCCACGCTCCACTCACAACGGATGTGCCTCGCACTTCTGAACTGGTGACCCATCGCTGACATTAAAGGCAATTACCGCGACCACAATTCGTAGATAATGCAGTTCAAAATAGAATTGCCGTGTGCTTATGGATTTACTGATGGAGAAGGAAGCAAAAAACCTCCCGCAATAAGACCCTCTTTATTTCAATTGATCATGATCACCGGATGAGCGTAAGGTTATCAAGATCAACTGTGAATTGCAAAAGGCGACGATACACTGACAAGAGACGAGAGAGAAAACGACAAGGCAGAGAACCCAATGGTATTGTCACGACACTGAAGGCCGGCATGGGCCTCTCTGGCGCCAATGGGCCTAAAACCTGGGCGCTCTGCGGTCTGTTGGCTATTTTTCAACTTTTTAATACAATGTGCCCTCTCTGCTGTTGTTTGCTTGACCATCATGCACGTTTATGAGGTTTCAGCCTATTTTATAAGGATCGACCGCTGGCGAGTTTTTAAATTTGGCTCAGTCTACCGTGATGCACGCTCCGCCCCCAAAAAATGTGCCTCGCACTTCTTATCCGGTGACC